CCACTAATGGCGACGTCGTCCGCCATTAGTGGCGGACGACGTCGTCTCATCTTCCAGATGGTATGCGGAGCACAAGTTCGTCTGCTTCTATTGCAGGGGTTGTGGTGAAGTCAGAACGCCGAAATCTGGTCGGCTCTGAATGAAGGATAGTGGGTAGACCTCAAAGCATGTTGCCTTGAGGTCTACCCACTATCCCTCCAGTCAGAGCCAATCAGAGCTCGGCGTCGTTCTGACGTCACCATAACCCCAGCAATACAAGCAGACGAACTTGCGTTCCACATTGGTTGAACGCACTCGATCAGACTTAAATGTGCAAACCAGCCTTCTGAACACACCGGCCGACGGTATGCTGAGAGAGAGCGACCTTGAAATCTAAAAACAAAAACGTCGGCTGCAGCTCTGAGACATTCCAGGAGGAATGGTATCAACTTCTTCGCGTACGGACTCCAACTGCACGCGTAAACAAGAAGAAAAAAAAAAAAAAAATCTTTGTTGCGAGCTTGCAGCGGTTGAACGCACCTTAACCGGCGCGTCTCTTCGCGGAATTCTCTTTTTCGGTGTCAAGATCATCGCAGCTTTTCTTTTGTTGTTTTGTGGGGACCGGCGCCCTGCTTCAGGAAGCTCGGTATCTTCTTTCCGAGGCCCAGAATTCTTACTTGGACGTCCGGCCCCTCCGATGAAGGAAGAAGTGAGAACGTCGTTTCGTGCGCGGGGGAACCTAGCCCTCTTCCGCTGTTTGCCGCAATGCCGGGCAAACTCGTCGACCTCGACACGCCGAGCTGTGCGAGGATCGGTAGCCGAGCGTATTAGAGCACAGCCGCAGCTCGGACCCCACGGAGTGAGAGCTCGCGCTGCAAAAAACCCAAGAGTTCGATCCCCACCCCCCTGCCCGTTTCGATCTGGATGAGCGTCGTACCGGCGTGCGTTCGTGCACAACTACTGCGTGATGCACGTTAAAGACTCCAAGCTGTGGCAGTCGTATACTGGACTTGCCAGATTCCTCATCTACTGCATAAACCAGCGTCGCCATAGCTCAAAGGCCAGACGGAGTATAGATAACTTTCCACTGTATGTTATAAGCGTCATACACACGACACAAAGGAGAGTTGTAGAACGGGACCTAACGCTTTCGGCGCCCCCGGGCTGCCCATGGGGTGTCGCACTGCAGAACTGCAGCAGTTCTGCGCTTGCGCAATGTGACGCCCCGAGATGATCGGTGGTCCCAAAGCGTTCGGGCCCCCTATTCTAAACCTCTCTAAGTACCTTTAAACGCCGTGCCCGAGTTAATAAGATTGCCTTGTCATACTTACCACCGTGCGCGTTGATGCTTCGTCTCTCCTATAGTAGCCGTATGTGCTGCCAATTAGTAATAACAGTTACACTAGCGCTCTCAACTGTCATTAGGTCAACGATCATTGGCATCTCCCAGCTGTCATTAAGCTCAACCAAGTTGTCCAGCGGTACACAGTATACATAGGCTTAACCCAGTTAACACACGCGTCAGAGGACGCAGTTGAAACCGAAAGGAAACCAAAACTGATGTCCCATTACATTTTTTTAAGAAGTGATCTAATTAAATTATGTGCACACTTTTCATTCATTACAAACGCTTAAATAAAAATAAAATAAACTTTGTTTTTGCTTTTAGAGTAAAGGAACGATATTCACGTCGTTTCACAGGAGTTCAAGCAAGAGAGACATAACGAAAGTCTTATCGGCACCGACATCACAATGGCCGCCTAGAGCATTATCAACGCTATTATTACAGTGTACTAGAATACGGCCAGTGTTGGGACCGGAGCGGCTCGCGCGAGGAGTGTGGTGTAGATGGCGATAGGTGTCGACACTGGCGCATCGGCAGTAGAGTGCCTTCATACACACGCGCGCTAATCGGCAGTAGAGTCAGTATGGGTGATTGTGCGTGTGCGCTGCGTGCACAAGCATGTGCTGGGGCACGTGCGGACTGCAGCGACTTTACGCTGCCCTGTCCACTGCAGCCCCACGATAGTTGTCTACATGCGCAGCCTCACAATTTTCCATTGTCGAGTCGCGCAGGTACAAACACTACACCGTATTCTAGTACACTGTAGTTATTCTATTATATCTAATAACGTTGAGCACTATATAGCTCCTTCGAAGCAGAGTAGCGCAATCTAGAACGTCATCTCTGGGCGACTAGCGGCGAACGCCCGGAGGTTCCAACTCCGGTCACAAACGCAGGGGGAACCTGAGAATTAATCGCTTTTTCATCAATATCTTGGGGATGTATGGAACGACAGTATAGTTTTTGACATAATAAAGGAACATTTTACAATAATTTGCGCGAAGTTGTGAGCCACGTAAGAGCTTTTTTTTTTATTATTATCATTAGCTATTTTATAATTGTGGATGACCCGCGACGCTGTTTAGCACACGACACAGACCCGCCCCGAGGGGCCGGAGGAAACTAGACACGCGCGACGGGACCGCCACCCGGCGGAAAGGACACGCGCGACGGGACCGCCACCCAGGGAGAGCGGAAGGAAAGGAAACTAGGCACGCAAGCGGGGGGGCTTGGAACGACGACAAAGAGAGGGCGGTGCGCGGGTCGCACAGCGGCAAATCTTTAAGAAAGCTTTAAAGCTTCAAGTCTACTGATCTTGAAAATGCTGCCTAATGAAAGCATCAAGGAGAATGCAGAGAATGGTATTCCACGCGCCGCGCGTGCCGGCGTCTACAGCAGTAACTGTTCTAAAGCAAAATCCTAAAACAAACGGCATCTAGCACTTGCGTTCGTCAACGCTTTATTTTGGCTATTAATGCGAAAGCATTAACTGTCCCGTGGAGCGAGCCGACGTCATCAGCTGTGAAGCCGCGCCAAGCGGCACCTTAAATTCTTTCTCCAAGCGAAGCCAGCTCCCAGTGGAGGGAAACTGATGGATTTCGGTTTCGGTTCCACTGGCTGGCGTGCGTCGTAGTTTCAAGGAACAAGGCTCCCATTGGCCGCTGCGCGTCAGTTTCAACGACCGCCACCTCATGGCGCTGCGTGTCCGTCAGCGCGCCGGTAACACGAAGCGTCCAAGGTCAGAGCATCGAGGAGAGCGCTCGCTTTGCCGTTGACACAAATACGCCGCAGACGAAATAAGGGAGCGGAAGAATGACGTGCATGCTTTCGCATTCCCAACTCATAAGAAGTGCTTAGGTGTACCTCGAGGCTCTTTACTTAGAATGTTTTATACGGAGAAGGCGTGCGCGTGCGGCGGTGCGAGCGTACAGTTTTTGGTCACGCACACAAAAAATCCACGGAACCCTAGCCATAAACAGCATCGCTGTAAAAATTGCCTGAGCAGCATCATGCAGCAGACAACGCGGCGCAGTGAGGGGTTATCCCTAGGTAGCAGATAGAAGCTATGGGCATCGACTGTCTCACGCTGTTTGGAAAACACGCGAAGAAAACGTCCCACCTCTCAGGTGACCCGCTCCGACCAACCCATAAAGTCCATCTCCGCTGCGTAAAAAAGTCGTCTGCTTCAAATGTCACTGCCTTGGAAATTGCCTTCTCAAAACTTTTCACACGGATCCATTATTATGAAAACTTGTATAAAGTGTTTAGTGTTTTACCAACTTCACGACAGACTAGTTTCGAAAGGTGTGAACTCGGCCTTTATTTTTTTTTAATCAGCCGTGTTGCGTCGGTCTCCGTGTGTTCTCCCATAGGGCGGGCGCCTCCTGGAACCGTGAGTACCACGCGACTCGCGCCGAGCTGCTTAGTCGGCCATGTTTTCGGCCATGTCGTCGGCAAAACACACGAATCAAGGAATCAAGGGGCTGCGTTATTCTGCTACTAGGAGCTATTGTGCTTTATGGCTGCCCTCGCCGAGCTTAGGCTTCTGCGACGTGCCGTGATCGTTCTAGCGGCAGCTCTGGCCCCGAATCATACATTTTCGGACAATATTTTCTGCTACGCTACTTTCTAGATACCTCGTCCAATTTTCCACAATAGTAAGTGCTTCGCTGGCGCTGGCCATGGGCAGCAGTGCGGAGGACGCCGCCATTTTTAGCTCTATTTGGGCGAACCCAGTTAACTAAGGTCGGTTGAACTCGATTATCGCCCGGCTCAATTACAGTTGGTGCAGCCGTGTAACTCCGACCGATCGTGGTTGAGTCAATTGTCGTTGGCTTAATGACAGTTAAGAGAACTAGTTTAACTAAGCTTTAATCTAGTTTCTTTGAGAGTTTGACCAGTTGGCGGAGCTTGTGGCCCGCAACAAAAACAAGCCGACTTCGCGATAACAGAATATGGCGTGTTATCTTATTGAGATACGGGTCAGGGTTTGTTTTCCGTCAACAACATGGCGGATGGAACTTTCTATTTCCCGGTTTCCAGACTTCCAGTCGTGATTGCTAGACGGACGGAATCGTTAAAAAGATTGCCGAACTCTTCCAGTGTAAAGGGCTCTGGCCGCTCCTAAAACCGGATTCTGCGTGACAGCCTTGATCCCGCTGGCAGAGCAAATGCTCGCAACCAAATCAAATACGTCTATATCAGCACCTTGTTTTTATGTAACGTAAAATACGTTATAGAGGAAGACTAGCTACTTTTAGCGTCACGTTGAGACACAACGGCAGACGTCAAACATCATATGACCGCGGCGGTCACGCTGCCGCTGTGGAGACGTGACCTGTTTAATCCTCTGAATTTAGCGGCCAAGACATCGCGCAGCAAATTTTGTGCATTTAATTGACTTGGTACGTCTCGAAATCAATCAGCGTCGAGCACCTCACTCCTCCTACCACACGTCAACCAATCGGCGTCGAGCCTCGCGGCCACGCTTTTATTCGGGCTTCACTCTTGGTTTTCAAGAAAGGCCGAACACGCAGCCAAAGAACGTTTCACATTTAGAAAACGAAAGTGGTCGAACCTGACGGGAACTTCCACCATGCTCCGCATTACATGAACCCCAGAAACGAAAGTACGGAGCCCATATATTTATGTTGCGTCTCCTCGACCCGTGTCGCAGGCTGCGACACCGGATTCGGCCATGAGCTAGCCAAGCGCCTAGACGCCGGCGGATTTCAAGTGCTAGCCGGATGCCTGAACCCGAGTTCAGAGGGAGCCACCATGCTCCGAGACTTCTGCTCCCCGTCCCTCAGGGTCGTCCACCTTGACGTGACCAAGGAGGACCACATCCGACGGGCCGCTAAGACTCTCGCAGGAGAGCTCGGAACCAGAGGTGAGCACCTGCTTTCCAAACAAGCGTTCTTGACCACACGAGTTGGGGTCACTGCGCGTGCGCAGAAGCTCGTTTGGCTTTTTGCAAGAGCGAAGTGTGTGCGCATGCCCCGTGCTGCGGGGAGAGCGGCGTGACGTCAAAGACACGAGTTGGCCCGTGATACTATGCAGACGGTCAATTTAGTCATTACCGTTTTCTCACTTTCCGAACTGGGCCCATTCTTCCGGGCTGCGAAAATCTTGGCCAGGATGTTCGACAGCCATACGTGTGGTGGCAGGAAGCGGAACTGCCCTTTATTTAATGTATCTGGGTGGGAAGCACTGGAGAGGTTAATGACGCATTGTGACCATAAAGGCTGGTTCACACAGTTACTTTTGAGCAGGGTAGAAAATAAAAAGCAAAAGCAAACAGCACTGGAAGTCTTGGCATCTGCGTATTACAAAGGCATTTGCAGTAGTTGCGTGATCCAACATATACGCACAACCTATGAGAAATGGTCGCCTATTAGACTAATATAATTATTTAGAGCCCACGATAAAAGAATGATGAGTAAAAAATTTAAAGAAAATATGTAGCAGTTCGGAAGCAAACTGGCGGAAAAGGAAATCGGCGAAGAGGAAAAATATTACTTTTGGTTTTTATAGCTAGGTGGCGCAAGCTACCGCCCGTTATAAAGGGTGCACACGTTACCATCTATCAATTCATTGGAACTGTTTCAGGGCTAGCGTACAGACGGCGCCAGTGTAACTGCATGTTATCTCGTAGTGAGCAGTCACAACCGTGCAATCAACTCAAAAGTAAATGTGTGACTCAGCACCAGCCTTAGTTTTGAAGTCACATTTTTAGCAAGTAGTTTTATCAGCTTTCAAATATCTTGATGAATGTTGTCAGAAAGTGTAAGTCCTGTAACTGAAGTATTTTTGTTCTTTTAATAAATCCTGTTCGACATGTCGGCACCATCTAAAGTGCAACTTTCTGAAGTTTCAGACACGTTTATCTGTTTCACGTTTTTGCGACAAATCTCGGCTCAGAGAAACTATTATTTGATAACAAATTGAAATGTAAAGCCAGCTTTTTTTCCGTTTATGTGCTGGAATTTTGTAAGAAATGCGGTTGTAACTTTACTTTCTGCCTTTTCGTGGTATTTTGTTATGAAAAGCTGCAGAAGATTCAACCTAATAGATGCAGAAATTTTAACTTGTTTAAAAATATTTTTAAATAGTATAAATTTAGTAATGCATTTTCATGTCCTAGTGACAGGGGTGTTACACCGTATGTTTAGGGTTCCGCAATCCGAAAAAAAAAAAACGAAAAATTCTCGCCGTAAATTATTTGTCAAATCGGATTTACCCGAAAAACTCAAAATTTCAAAGTCACAACGACGAAATAAAAAGAAAAAAAAAAACAGACGATACAAAATATTTACAAATTTTACAAATAAACTTTATAAGAGCACATGGTCCTGAGAGGAGCCACTTCAGATTCCTTTGAAGCCTCACTCTACTGACAAAGGGGGCTTGCCTTTTAGCTGATCAAGACCCCTTCAGAACATCGGATCATGGTACCCAGACTTTATTTATTTTTTTAATTGTGAATTTCGTAAAATATATTTCGAATTTGAGATAATTGGGAATCTAACAAAAATAAACTCCGATAAACGTCGAATTTTCAGCAGCAAAAAAAAAAAAAAATATGAACTCCAAAAAAACATTCTCCAAATTTCCCGAGAAATAAACTCCGAAAACACGAAATCCTGTGTATGTTTCACCAAAGGAACTGGCCATTATGATTACCTTTTTGAAAACGGTGGTCTTCCTCGGGTGCGCAGTGTTAATTTGATGCACTATTACGTAAGACTTTGAAGGACAAACTTATAAACGTACAACATTGCATGTCATCCTCTATCCCAGTTATGAATATATGCCCCGCAAAATTCCATACAAATAAGACAAACCGTTAAAAAGGAAGTTCGACCTCCCGAGTCTCGAAAGAGTGTAAAGGCCCGTTCACACTTGCGACGGTCGCTGGAGCGACCAGCGACTAGCGACTGTTTTTTAGTCGCGGAGCGGCCAAAACAGGTCGGTAGCGACCGATTTTGGGCAGTCGCTCCCTGACCGATTTCTCAAGTCGCAAAACCGAGTCGCTGGACGGCGGAGCCAATCAGAGAGTCTCGTCGTCTCGTAGGAAGTGATGTGTGCGTTTGTTTACATCCGGCACTGCTACCCGCGGGAAATTGCGACGCGCGCGCTGCGACGGTCACTGGCATGAAGTTCTGCGCGGAAGCTCTTATTAATGCTGTCAGACTATTTGTTTCTTTACAATAAGCGGCACCCCGACCACAAGGATCGGGGCAAAAAGCTGCAGGCCTAAAACGAGATCGGCGACATTTTCGGCGTGGCAGGTACGTACAATATCACGGTTTCCGAAGCACCATTACGTTTTCTTGTTATTTCCTGCCGGCACCTTTGATCAGAAAAACCTTTCAGCCGGCTCGAAAAGGTGTTGATTAGTTGGCAGCGAGCCTGGCGACTCGTCGGTCGCTCAATCAGGTGTGAACTCTGGTGGTCGCCAGTCGCTTGTCGCTAGTCGCTCCAGCGACTGTCCCAAGTCGCAAGTGTGAACGGGCCTTAAGAGTGTAAGAGAGTAAACTCACCCCTCGGCCGCGATGTCGATTGCAGCGCTGTGGGCGGTGGTGGCCAACGCCGGCATGATGTCGGCCGGAGAGCTGGAATGGGGCAGCAGCGACAGCGTCCGCTACCTGTTCGAGGTGAACGTGTTCGGCGTCGTCAACGTCGTCAAGATGGCGCTGCCGTTCCTGCGGCGCACCCAGAACGCCAGAGTGGTCATCGTGGCCAGTGTGGCGGGTGAGAACTCCTACTACCGGCGCTAATGGCTCAACCCTTTGTATCGGGCGGTAGCTTGCGCCACCTAGCCTAAGTCTAAAAAGACAACCATACGATTCCTCCCGCCGTGACGATGCACTTTGGCCGCTACTTGTCTGGCTCCACCGAATTGTGACGTCACGTTCGGTAGACGTTTTCTGTCGGGATCTTCCATACCGGGTCATTGAACAGATCGGGGAATACGATAATACTTTGATCAAAATACCGCGGCATCATTCACAGCGTCCGCAGTAAAGAATTGGTAATCGCTATGTCTCATCGTTCGGGTCGACCATCACAGTACTTGAGCGAAAAACACGTCGGCGACAGAAATGCACCAAAAAACGTTTACGTGACCACTCAGGCGAATTAGACGCAATTAAATTAAGAAGGATGACAAAGCGAATTAAGAGGAATTAAAGTGAATTAAGCGTAATTAAACAGAAGTAAGAGGAATCAATGGGAATTAAGAACCATAAAGCGAATAATGTCATAAAAGAGAATGTGAAAAAAGAGTACGTGAAACAAAGTAAATCATGTGTCTTTCTTTAATTCAGCTTTCGCCTTCAAGTCGTCTTAAGGATAACATAAGATACCCTGTGATTTTTTTTTTTTTTTTTTTATAATCACCTTCTGCGTGCCGCCATCTTTGTCTACTGGGCTTTGGAACGTTCGTCCGCTCCTTGCGCACCTCGTGCGTTTGTTTACCCCTCAAACGCCCTTACGTGCTTTTGTCTGCCCCCGACCTCAACCAATGACGCCGCGAGCTTCGTTATCGCGCGTCCCCTATGCGTTCTTTATGTTGCCCGTTGACGGGCGTGTTCCTTCTTAAGTTCCAGTGCGCAGAAGCATAGCCTCTTATATACTGACAGAGCCTAGCAGATCGCCACGAGAAGTGGCCGCCGAAATGGAAGAGGCGGAGCGGCAGACAACGGATGAGAGGAGAGTCACGTGACTGGCGCCCCGCTGCGGCGAGACGCCGAAACACACTTCTCCCGAGCGAACAAGTGTGTTCCGGTTTCTCGCCGCTGCAAAAGCTGTGCGCTGACGGCCAGGTTCCCCGAGAAGTGACTTTCTGGTGCTCTGTGCTACCAGATTCTCGCGCTCCAAATCTGCGACCGGGCACTCTATGGTTCCGTCGTCGAACTGCCAGGCTTTGCGAGTATAGAGAAGGCTATGGCAGAAGACGCATTTTGGAGCACTCGCCGTATAAACCTTGCCATCGCGTATCACCCGGGCGAAACAAATGCCGAGTCAATGAGTTGCGGAAGCATGTGCAGTGTCTGATGTACCGCACTACAAAATTACAGCGCATGCTCAGAAGGTGTTCCACGGCCCAGTGGACCTCTTGTCCTGCCTTGTGTACATAAGGTCTCTCGCAACCTCGAAAAGCTGGCGAAGAAGTTTAGCACTCCTGTAGTTTTTTTGTTTTTTTTTTTAGACGAATTTTTTTAGCTATGCCAAAGAATAAACATTGCAGGAGTGCCGGGAGATGCGGAGGGGTGTGCGGCAAGCGTCATGCCACCAAATTTTGGCAATGTGGCTTAGTGGTTACAAGGTCCCCCGTCTTGCGGTAGGATTAATGTTTGCCAGACGGGGAGGTGCGATAATGATAGAATGAAAGAACACTCCGCCGCAATCACCCCCGTCTGGCCACTTGGCTGTACATTGTGATAGGTGTGAGTGCCAGGTCGGGTTCGACAGAACCAAGATTGTGGGAATATTTTAAAAAAAAAAATTGGAACGCGAGATACATGAGGCATTCATGATAAGGGCCCATGGCACGAATGTGTGTATCAGTGCTCCTTCTGCTGCCCTATCCCAGTGGTTCTCAACCCTTGAGATTTTGCGGACCCCTTGTGGATCGGCGGAGATGATGGAGAGCCCCGTTCGTGGTCAAAGGAAGGGAGATATATGGGTTGATTATGGTAGCGATGTAACTAACGGCTAGTGTGAATTCAGACTTCTCTTATTGACATATACGCAAGAAAACCCGCGCGAAACTTGGAACGTTTCTTCTCAATCTGAAAAAAGACCATCCTTATTATCGGGCTTGACTGATGAGCCTTCGTGGACCTCAAAGGGTCCGCGGACCCCCATTTGAGAACCACTGCGGGCCTATCCGATAAGGAGCAGGCTTTTATCGGTCAAGCTACGCTCACTCAACAGTGACGGCAGGCTTTCCAGGTGGTCAATGAACGTCCATCATCTTTGCACATGTGCGGTTTTATTCTTCTTTTTATGTTTCCTTCGGTAAAGCTCAGTTACAAGTTACGCCTCGTCCTGTGTACTTCTTTTTCTGTCCCTGTGTCTTTGTTGTTGTTGTTTTTTTTTGTCGTATTTACCACCATACATAAGTATTAACTAGCCCAACTCGCAGTGTTAATACAGTAGACAAAGATGTCAGCGCGCAGAAGGCGAATTTTGTGAGGGTCTATTCTGCGAAATATCAGGCGCCAGGTGCATGAGTCCAGAGCCCAGTGCCTCAATATTTTTCGTCGAAGTGATAGCACAGAAAAGCCGTATTTAAATTACGTTTATTCACTTGATTTTTTTTTTTACTTGGTAATATAGGGTGTTTGAAATGTCGAGGTTCTATCTAAAATCGGGCGTAAAAGTCGGCCCCTGCACGTAGCAATCTAAACCTTTCGTCAAAGGTGTATATCACAAGTGAGTTTTACCTCGTAAAATTACAAGGCGTAGCTCCCTCTCTGTAATAAATAGGGCCAAAAAAACTTGCCAGGGTCTACGGCGGACGGTGACGCAGACGACCGAGTCGAGTGGCGGGGCGCGTTTGGTGCACGTATTGATAGATGGCGTCGGGAGCAGCGTCGGAAAGTGTATCCTACAGTTTGCCTACAGTAGTGTAGTCGAAGAGCGAAAGAAAGCACACGGCACTCAGGGGAAATCTGTCGGCAGCAGGAGCGCCGTAGTTATGCAACCGCGTTTTCGTTCATTTTTATTTTAAGTTTTGCTATAAACGTTTGCATTTAATTTTAAGCCAAAATTACATCATAAAAAGATTATGTTCCTTTTATTAGAAAAGGATCGTCGCAAACAGTCTCGATTTTTTTTTTTTAGCAAGCTGGAAAAGGAGTTAGCGCCATCTATCGATACGTGCTCCAAACACGCCCCGCCCCTCGACTTAATGTCGTCCACCGTTGACCCTGACAAGTTTTTTGGTCCTATTTCTTTTCTTTCATTTTTTTTTTTTTTTTTTTTTTTTTTTTTTACAAAAAGGGAGTTACGCTTTGTAATTTTACAAAGTAAAACCCACCTGTGAAATACGCCTTTGACGAAACGTTTAGACATCTACGTGCAGGCGCCCATTTTGACGACCCATCTTAGATTGATCCTCGGTATTTCAAGCACCCTGTATACATTTTTTACGGAATCTGACGTTTACAATGGCATATATGATATATCCTAAACTCGAGACAAAGAACAACAAAAAACGTTGGTTTAGGTGCTCTCCGTTTTGTCGTGATATTCTTTTGTCGTCGCATGGTACGAGCGGCAGGGACAATGCGTCATGTTGCCAAAAAATGTATTTATCTTTTCTTCTTTTTTGGCAACTATATACGGAGCCTGAGACGTATATCTGTCAATGTCAAAAATCCAGCTACACGAAGGGGGGAAAAAAAGCAATAGTAATGATAATACTCGTTATATAACAGCGTTTCTGCGAATCGTCCAGGGCGCGTCACGTACCCAGGCCTGGCGTACTACTGCATGTCCAAGCACGCGGTGGTGTCCTTCGCCGACGGACTCCGGCGCGAGATGCGCAAGTGGAGCATCGTCGTCTCCACCATCGAGCCCGTGCTGTACAGGTGAGAGGCACACAGATCCGGCGAAAACTCTCCACCTACGACTTGTGGGCATGGTCACACGGCTACTGCACCATATAAAAGACAGCCTCCAAACACTGTCCGAGGTGTGTTTCTCCTTTGTGTGGCGGTCCTGCCAGATTGGTCATATGTGACCAATCTGACAGGATCATCGTACCGGACGTTAGGGAGGTTTAGGGAACACCCAAGCATCACGAATTTTGGCCAAGCAATGGCCAATGTCCGGCGATGGTCTTTTGGCCAGTGGCCAGAGAGTGGCCATTCATTGGCCAATGCTTGGCCGATGGCTGATGGCCAGTGGCCATTGGCCAGTGGCCAGATAAAGGCCAGTCACCGGCCAGTCTCTGGCCACTGTCTGGCCACTTGGCCAAGGACCATTGCCAGCCATTGGCCGATGACTGGCCAACTCTGTGCTGCTTGGGCAGTTCTTGCACATCCGATACGCGACGACGGACCCTTCGGTACGAACTGCGCATGCGCTAGCGCAGAAGATTAGCACACGCCCAATTCGTACCGGAGGGTTCATCGTACAGTAACGCATGTGCAAAAACGGTTGCCTAAAACTCTATAAAGACTGCCTCTAGATATGTTCGAAACATGCATATTATATATGAAGCAAACATGCTCCGAACAGGCGTTACGTGTGTGCGCAGATAATTCTGTCATCATGTCTGCAGACCGTGTCTTTTGTATGATATACAGCATGGAAACAAACGGTTTTAAGGCGCTTTATAGACGACCCGCAAAAATTGGTTTCTTCACGTGTTCCGCCACAAATTTATACAGAGGTGCAAACAATTGGTGAGAACTTGCTGTGAAAAAAAAATATCATGGAATGAACTTACCTTGTTCAATAAAAAAATGATAACAGAAACCTGTTCTGGGCAATCTACGTCACCACTTCGCAGACGATGCACGTCAAGTGAGAAATGCTGCAGACAGATGGTGTACGCCGCGTCGAGGGAGTCTCTGGATGCCGCCATTTTGGCGGCATCCAGAACGCCGGTCGATTTGATTTTTTTTTTTTTTTTTTTTTTTTTTTGCGGGATCGTCTGATATCATAACCTGAATCGGCCGGGGCTATCTCGACACGGCGTACGCCATCTGTCGGCGGCACATCTCACTACGCGTACACCGTCCGCGAAGTGGAGGCGTAGACGGTCCAAAACAGATCTATGTTTCTTTTCTTTTTCCTTTTTCCTTTTTTTTTACCTTTTAACACAAAATTGCTACCACCTACTTGCAACTTTGTAATATATCGCAACGCAATACGTTGATAAAACTTGTTTTTTTTTTTTTTTTTTTGCGGGCCGTTTTAAAGAATTTTAAGAGCGTTCGTTTACAAACGGTACACTGATCAGTCAAAACAATGTGACCATCCACCTAATAGCGTGTTGATCCACCTTTGGCAAGCAAAACAGTAACAACCCGTCTCGGTATGGATTCTACCAGTTTTTGATGCATTAGCTGAAGAGGATTGTACTGCGAGCACCGGTTGCGCAATTCTTGTAGATTACGAGCATGTGGTTTGTAAGCTTTGACTCTGGCACCCAGGTGATATCTGGTGAGTTAGGTGGCCAGGACATCAAATCGAATTCCCAATTGCAGTGGCTTTAACACCGCTTAATACTGAGATTACATAGGATTGTTGAAGGTTACACTGTGGTGCTCCCCTTATGCCGTGGGAGGCCCATCCCGGCATGCATCTCGGTAGTCGATGTTCATTCGGCTGCTGGAAGTTCCAGAGTTCAAACACTAGGTGAAACTAGACACTACAATCACCGTGCTCTTCAAACCACTTTAGCACAATTCTGACTTAGTGACAAGAAGCGTTGTCTTGTTGGAAGATTCCGGTTCCGGTGTGGAAGTCAGAAGCCATGAATGGGTGTAACTGGTTAGCACAGGCATGTTGACACGGTCCACAGCTTTCATAGTGCGCTCTTCAACAACCACAGGTCCCAGAGATACCCCAAGTATTAATACTGCCACCATCAGAGACCATCCTCATCAGCAGATGATAGACAATAATGCGCGGATGGCCGTCAGCTGGGCGCGCTCATTTACATAGTGTAGGGGGTGGTCGTAATGTTTTGGTTGATCAGTGTATGAGCGGTCTGATTACGACTTCACAACACCGCGCGAATGCAGTAAAGTAGGCGCTCACTGGTACGGTTACATCGGAATCCGTCGTTGCTAAAGGCGCGCTAATAACGGGTTAAAAGAAAAAAAAGAAACGCGCATTTTACGTCATCGGAATAGTTTTTCTTGTCAGACGATAAATAAAAGCTCCTTGTAAGCATGCACTCTGAACAACGCATCTATTTCCAGTCTGTATCGACAATGATTCCCTTAGAGACTTGTCGGCTTCGAGTTATCGAAGTTTCATTGAGAGTTTGTAAAATACTTGTTTGGCGGTCAGCATGACGACACACACCAGCGCCAAAATGGCGGCATTCAGAGGCCATAGCTGCAAACACCTTACTTACAAATAATGTTCTTTGCTTCCTGGAGGTGGCAGCCATTAGAGAGGAGATCCAACCGATCGTCGCGCTCCTAGTGCATACGTTGAGAACTTAACCCATGGGGACAACAACAACATAATTGTCATAAATTATTTGTGTTTTTTGTCGCAGCGTTCGGATGACGTAACCGACCGCTGCGTCAGCGTACGGTGGAGTGTCGTGTTCAGTCAGTGAAGCACAAAGTAAATACTATCCGAAAGCAGACGCAGCGCTCTTGTCCAATCTGTGCTTCTTTGTTTTAATTTTTTCTTTACATTCGTTACACTGCAGGCCATTTGCAGGCCCAAGCAGGGTGGGACAATATAGACAGTTTACAACCATTAACGTTCATGTCTAAAGGCAATAAACCGCAATATAAAGTAGCACAGCGACAGAAGCAATCAACAAATAGGTAACGCCATAACCACTACAGAACCAAAATAGTAATAAAATACAACACCACGGAATGACTCATGACAATTTTAAAGCACTAACAAAAAACAAAGCAGTATATATGCTATACAAAATGACTTCTAAGGATTTCTGCAAGCGCAACACATTTAAAAAAATCAAGAACAGGCATGGGCGAATTCTTCAACCGTAGGGCATTCAACTACCTCACTTGGTAAAATGTTACAGTCATATACTGTTAAAGGAAAAAAAAATATTTAAACACATTGGACGGCGATCGAAACGCTCGGATGTGGTGCGATTTGTTTGTTCTTGTGGAGTGTTTGAATGGAGGGATTAGGTACGTGGAAGGGTCCATTTAGTCTAGATAGCTTACATCGGGAACACACCCACTCAATATTTGACAATGACAACATTTAAGAAATAGAATCGTTCTGTTTTTGTATGTGCCATTACGAAGCGTAAACTCTGGTTTTGAATACGTTAAATTTTAGAAGAGTCGATTTTGGCACACGGATCCCATACCGCAGTGGCTTATTTTAAAACTAGTGTAATCAGAGTTTTGTGTGCAGTCAAGCTTGTTGGTGCTGGTGCCAGTTTAAGTCTCCTCTTTATAAAACAAAGTTTTTGAAAGGCAAGTGAATATATATTATCTTGGCGCATAACCCTGCTAAGGCTAGGCGAGAGTGTTACACCCAAGTACTTTACGTGGTCGACCCTGGAAACTAGAGAGCTATTAAAAACATAGTCATAAGACTCCTTGTTCTTGTTGTTGTTGTTGTTGTTTTTTTGTGTGTGCACTGTAAAGGTAATGCAGGCTTTTCTTTTTTTTAATTAAGTTTAATTTGTCCCTTTTCACACCAACCAGACATTACAGAAAGAGCGTTATTGAGCATAGCTTGATTCTCAACATTTCCCACTTTAGAGTACAAAACGCAATCATCGGCAAAAAGCCTGATCTCAATCCTTTGATCGATGTCCTTAACAATATCATTTATATAGACAAGAACTAACAATGGCCTTAAAACTAATTCCCGGGGGACTCAAGAAAAAACATCCAAATGGGGAGAACAAGTACCGTCATGCTTTTAACTTCATAAGCAATGCGTTCTGGGGCACGGTATCAAAGGCCTTTCAAAAATCGATAAAGGTCGCATTGACTTGTCCTTTATCATTGATAACACTGGCCAATTAATGTATAGTCCGAATAAGCTGGGTGATTGTAAAGCGGCTGCGTCGGATGCCATGCTGGGAGTCGTCGAAAAATGTATAGCTTTCGAGGTAATCGATGATGTGCTTGTTCACTGTGTGCTCGAGGAGCTTGGAAGATATGCATGTTAATTATATCCGTCTGTAGTTTGAAATGCAGAGCTTATACCACCAACCTTATGAGGTGGTGCCACGCGCGCGTGAAGCCTAGTCACTCGGAACAATCTTATCCTGCAAGGAGGACTTAAATATGACGCATAAGAACATTGAAATTCATTAGGCATACCTCTTCATAAATGCAGCAGGAATTTCATGAGGACCACATGATTTTAATGCGAGAGCATTAACTGGTCCCATGGAGCGGTGCCGGCGGCGACTGTAACCACGAACAAGGCGAGGAGCCGGCGGAAAAAAATTCCCAGGAGCCGGCGGCGTCCGTAACGGCTGAGCTGAAGAACGACATTCATGCTTTCGCATTCACAACTTATAACAAGTGCTCAGGAGTCCTCTGATTTTTTTGTTGTTTCGGTTAAGAAACATAGGAAAAATACTTTGTACAGACACTGATATTTCGGACGTGACAGGTGCATTATAAATTTAGGGTAATACGCAGGTTGGCTGCGTTTGCACCCTTAGTAAATACGGACTGGAAATATCGGTTTAGATCGGTACATACATTCTCTAAGTTGTCTATATGATCATGTGTTGTTGTTGTTTTTTATTATTAAACACTGCAGGTGAGGGAGACGAGTAACACCAACATTTTTTGCGGAGAATTCCTCATAAATGTTTCTTGACTACAGGAAAAGGACGCTGATCGACCGTCTTCTATTTTCATCCTTAAAGTAGAACACGGATCTTGAAAAGAGTGCGAGTTATGGGCTTTATTTCGTCGGATTATTTTAATCCGCCTCTTCAAGTGCATCACTTCTCTCAATACCCAAGGGTCCGGCCGGTTGATAGTTACCTTTCTTTCGGGGACAAAGCGCTTAATCCTTTAGCCTAACCCAAAGGGATTCCGTATTTCCGGATGAATTACTGAACAAATCAAAGCATGTTGAAGATCATCAAGTATACTAACATTGTCCGCTCGAGAGAAATCCCGTATTAAGTTACGTGATGCATTTTTTTCTTTAGCTTCGGCAAAACAGAAAACAAGCGATACAAGGTCATAGTCTCATATACCTTCATGTATGCTGACCTTGCAAGGCAAAGAAGGGCTTACAAAATCTAAATTTGGTACAGAAGAAGTTGTCTATGTAACACGGGTTGGTTGTGTAACAACCTATACAAGATTTAGGTTGCAAAGAAGGTGAAGGTGAATTGACTCATTATGAGTGTAAGACGACGCCAGATTTAAGATATTCTAGTCTATTCCGGGAGCATAAAAACGCCAACCACCAGAACTTGTGTTTTGTTTTAATCACAAATAAGTAGTCATACGCCTCTAAGGAAACACCAGACGCATTCGGGGCTCTGTAGACAACAACAAGAACAAAAACTACTTTTCTGATGGTATACCTTTAACCACACGCTTTCGTGGTTCTCAATTGCTTCCAAACCTGAGCAGGTAACATTAGCTTTTGCAGTAATTGCCACTCTTCCGCCTCGAGATGAGCGATCATTTAGTGTAATCTGATAACCTGGAGGGACTAGTTCACAATTAAAAATATCCGGATGTAATCATGTTTCCGTTATCGCCGTTTTGCCGCCATCATGTTCGTATCAGATTCGCCCTCGTATAAGATCCACGCTCGATAGATTCTTTACAACATTGGTGTTATAAATAATTCAATCCACAGACCTTGTGTTGAATTAACATCGAGATCTGTGCAAACTTCAAAGCAAGCCGGACAAAGCGCCCGCTATACACTAACTCAACTCTATGACGTCGTGTCACTGCAGTGATGCTGCTGTCGGCACTGCGCGTGCGAAGATCTCTTGCAAATCTGGTTTCTGCGCATGTGCAGTGCCCACACCTGGTGGGGGGTAAACGCAGCCTTGTTTGAAAACAGTGTGTTGGAGTATGGTTCGATCTCCCGGCCAATACAGACAAACGTCACGACCTTTTTCTACCCAGAACCAAGATGGCGCTCCCCGAGCAGATCCAGTGCTCCATGGACCAAGCCTGGCAAGACAGTCCAGAGTCGGTGCGCGAGACCTACGGCAAGAACTACTTCGAGGCGTTCCGGTCCCGCTGCCTCGAGTTCCTGGCGAGGCGGTGCAGGGACGAACTCTACGAGGTCGTGGACAACATGGTGCACGCCGTCAGCTCCAGGAGACCCAAGCGGAGCTACTTCTGTGGCGGAACGGGCGACCGGTTCCGGTTCAGCCTGTTCCGCATGTTGGCGCCGACCACAGTGGACCGGATTCTCTGCTCCATCAACCAGAGCGAAATACGGAGGTCCATCTCGGACGAATGATTGGGACTGACCGTGTCTCGGCATGCTCGCGTTCCTTCGCCGTCTGCTTCTGGAGACCTGTCGTGGTAGCGGACGAACGTTGATACAGTAGCCAACATCCCCAATCACATTGCTCAAACATCCTACAAAAGACCCGATCTGCCGACATTATAACAGAAAGATCTGCGGACACACGTCAAGCACGGCTGAAGTATGTTTTCTTCGTACATATGCTTTCTGCTTCGATTATGTCCGCAGACAGTTTTCGTATGGCCAACGTGACAGGGTGGCCCTACAAGGAAGGAATACCCCTGAGACCATGTCTGCAGGCGGTCTTTTGTATGATGTATAAGCAGTGAGACTGCCGCTTAAGTAGTTAAGCCAATCACGGAGTGTAGCCGAAGCCGGTATAGGAACGTGCACCTTCAAAGGGAACCTACTGGAAGCCTCGGAGCGTCAGCCGAAGTTTCGCTCCCTTGTTGTTGTTGTTGTTGCTTTGGTGCAGAGCCTGTGTCTTTTAACGAATTTTCGGAGATATCCGGGAGTTCTTACTCCTGGATGGCGCCAAAGAATCTGTTTTATAGGGAAACCTCCGCTGCCATTGCTACACTTGTGGGAGCTGTCTCTTAGCGAAACATCGGCTACCGCTTCAAAACTTCCAGAAGGCGCCTTTTTTTTTTTTTTTCAAGTATCAATGAGAAGAATGGTAGGGTCAAAACGCCTCGAAGACTCAACCTTCTTTCTCTTCCCTCGTTCTTTTGTGCCATCGTTGCCTTTTCTGCTATACCAAGACGTGCCCTCCCCAGCAGTCTGGTCTTCTATACTCATCAATAAACACACGACTTCGAAGCGCCCCTTCCTCCACAGACCCCAAAAATCGAAAGAGCATTTTGGAAAGTTACCTTTCGTCTTTAATGATTTGCATTGGTCCCTCATTTTAACGTGGAAGCACAGTGGCCCACCCCCCAAACTTAACGTCACCACGAGATAACCATTGATAAGCACGCTGGATCAAAACGTGTGTTTTCATTAGGTACGTCAAGAACACTTTGTGCGCGCCTCAGAAGTCGTGGCCTCGTTTTCATTCAATCATTCATTCATTTGTTAATTTTACATGCTCATCGAACAGCTGATGCTCTGGTAATCAGCCGTCCTGGGTTCATAAATGTACCTGCATATTTTTGCCTATAGGCGTATGTGATACTAACGTTCTCAGGGTAGAAAGAGAGAAAAAGAGAGAGATGCAGAGAGATAAAGAGGAAGTGAGATGGGAAAGAAGAATTGCTTGCAGAAATATCGTTAACGCAGTATTTGTTAGACCTTGTTGATGAACGTAAATTTGCGTACGTGCGGTTACAAGAGCGTATAAATATGAAGAACCCGCACGTGTCGAAAAGCAAATGAATAATAAACCAACGCGGAAAAAGCCAGTCCCAACCTAACTATGACCCATAAAGACAAAATATCATTCCAAGCGACACAGTGTGAACGCCCCGCCTGGCGGCTATCAAAGAAATCCACGTGCATGCGCCTTGCGTGCATGTAGTATCAATAGTGTATATTTTACATTCTTCTTTCCCTCCTTGTTGTCATTCATTGCAGAAGAGCGTCACTTGACCGTCTAGTTAGCTGGTACACGTCATAGCAAAGTACCGTAAAGGTCCCTCCTGGACTCTATAAATAAGCTCATTTTACGCCGAGATTACTGCATGAAAGAAGAACTATCGGTGCTCATTATAGCACTTTAGAATTATAGCGATTTAAACTTACTTAAATTAAACAAAGGCTAAAACTATTGTTTTCAGTGAAATTGACCGCAATTGCCGAAAGCAAGCGTTTCCAAGGCAGACATCAGAACCCGGAAATGCCAACTGCTCGGCACTTTGTTTAACTTTACCATGTATTCGTCCTTGTTTTTATATAAAAGTACAATAACGAAGTGCTCTTTTACGACACGCACACGCCGTTCATTATAAACCCAAAAAATAAATTGAGGTGCAGGAAGCCACGGACAGGACAAACGTCCAAAGATCGTCGATGTACTTTATAGACATGCACTAGTTGACGAACGATCGGACGATATGGGACGGAGTACGCGAAACATGGACTCTGTGGCACCGTTCTTATACTGACAACCATTCGCGACCATCAACTACATCTCGATCGATACCGCTAAGAACGGAACCAGGAAGGCGAAAATAAAGTTGCTCAGTGCCTTGCACGAGGACCTCTCTGTGTCTATGCTTTGTACGTGTTTTTGTCTCTTGCATCTACGCACGTCACGGTCAAATGACGACGATCGAATCCTCGTCTCTGATGCAGAGCCGCACAATTAATCTACCACGCACGGCTGAGCGCTTGGTGCTCATCAACTCCTAGTACCGATCTTTTTTTTCTTCTTTTTCTTCACAATGTTGTCCTGTCCTTCCGTGGTTCACGAAAGGGTGCTCCGGTCAAGAGTTTCATCGAAAGAAGCGTGCGGATGTGCACAAAACTTTCTCCGAGATCACATATGGCAACAAGCATAAGCGATTTCGAATCGAGTAAGCCACGTCCATTTGAATTGTTGCAAAGGTATAAGTTCTGAAGAATAAACCAAATTCCCAGAATGAAACCAATCAGTGTTACAATACTGACCTGAAATTGGTTCTAAATGGTTTAATGACGTGTCATCCCATAGCAGTGAACGTCAGGTTCATGAGGCATTCGGCGTAGTCCGGTTTGAATTTGGTTCGCCAAAATTATTTCTTAATGCACCGGCAATCAGTATTAGTTGTGTGGTACATATAGATCATCATAATAATCGCCTTGTACGTGCCGCCCATCTTTATACAGTGGGTTGTGAATCACGTACCAAGTGCACGCAATAGCCCTTTTGTGCTAAAGATTCCTGTGTACAGCCCAGTGAGTGGGCATATTTTGCCTGGGTTATACGGATTGAAGATGTGGGTATGGCCCGAAACATGAGCTGTAACGAACACCGGACTTTTAAGTCAGTTCTTCTTAGCAGCACATGTGCAATGTTTGCACGCCATTATTTTGGCACTGTCTCACAACACGCGTAGTTGCTTCACGCCACAATTAATATTCCCTCTGATCGGCATGGACATTTTTTTTTTCTTATTCCGACTTATAGGTATATGACTGCGCAGTTTAAATTCGCGTTATATATAGCGTCATGCGTTTCAGCTTTTAGTCACTGCCAAGGCAGCACTGAATTCCATCGGTGCACTAAAGTCACTGACAGAGTGAGGACGGCAGGGCTTCCCTGTCGGGTGCCCGGGCCCCAGCAAGCGCGCGTTGCTTTCCATCGTGCTTTGACTTCGCGTGCACCCTCGAGGTACACGAAACGCCGAAGTGCTATCGAAGCTAGGAATCTCGCGCTGAAGGCACGTCATTAAACGCCAAAATTCATTACCTGAGAATATATTTCTGAAAGCACAAGCGGTTGTAGTGCATCGTATTTCAATCGCAAGCCCTAGAACGTTTTCAGCGCTTTCGTTGGTTCCTCCTTTCTTTTCACCCAACTTTTAGGACCAGTTGTAACCTGTAAAGAAGTCACTGGGACACCCAGAGCCATGTACACGTCACGGAGGACAACAAAACTCTTCGTCATCAGACATGTTGACGAAAAAGTAGATCCCGAGAATAACCGGACGGTCTTCAAGCAACTCAGACCGATCCTCTGGTCCCTCAAACTGCTGGGGTTTTACTCGGATCTCCACGAGGACGCCGAGCGGCCTGTCAGGCCCTGGTACCATGACGTGTCCACGTGGACATGCGTCACACTGGGGCTTCTACACGCGTACGCACTGGCGTCGCTCACCGCCTGCATCGAAGGTGACTTCTGGGCCACAGCCTACAACTTCTTCAGGGCCGGAAGCGCGGTGGTGTCCAGTCAGGCTGTCATCAGCAAAGGACCGCAAGCCTGCGCTCTGATACATCGACTGGGAACGTTTCCGTCGCGACCGGGGCACAACCTCAAAAAGACGTGCACAGTCATGGTGCTCGTCGTTCTAGGTTACGTGATCCTCCGAATCGCCGTTCACAGCATGGTGCTGCTGGACTACAACGCACACGGTAAGATAACTAAAAGAACACTGTGAGATGGCAGTGCATTCCCAAAGTCTACACATGAACAATCAGGACAACATGGCATTTTCAATCTGATATGACCGAATAGCAGGAGATGCTCAATAATAGACCTTCAAGAGCAGAAAATTATAAGGCCTTCCACTTGCACGAAAGAACGCGTCATTCGAATCAACACTTTCCATAGACCTTTCCTACGCGGGCGCAGCCATCTTGAATCGCGGAGGTTCAGGTATGCGAGAAAACGATATTTCTCTCGCCACAACACTGGGAAAAGTTCACGTTTGGTCGCAACTGTCTATCACGCTTGTATCGCCTTTTCTATGTTAGTTTACTTGTTCCAAAATGTAACTGCTTTGCTTTTTTTCTTTTTTTTTTTAAGCCACGGTTTTGAAACATCTTTTTTTAGAGCGCAGCTCTTAGGGGCCCGTTTCCGGCTTGAGCGGCGTCGCCGTCGCCGTCGGCGTAACCGCGCGGTGCATCATGGGAAATGTCCCATAACGCACCGCGCGAGCCCCCACCGGGGTCACGTGACTCCCCTGAGGTCACGTGACCCCCTCCTTGAGGTCACGTGACCCCGCGAGGTCACGTGACCCCCGCCGATGTCGCGTGACCCTCCGATGATGTCATCGTCACTGATGACGTCACCGGCATCCACGTCGTCATCGTCATCATCACTAATGACGTCACCGGCATCCACATCGTCATCGTCATCATCACTGATGACGTCACCGGCATCCACATCGTCATCATCACTGATGACGTCACCGGCATCCGCATCGTCATCGTCATCATCACTGATGACGTTACCGACATCCCCATCGTCATCGTCATCATCACTGATGACGTCATCAGTGACGTCACTGATGTCGTTACCGGCATCCGCATCGTCATCATCACTGATGACGTCATCAGCGACGTCACTGATGACGTCACCGACATTCGCATCGTCATCGTCACTAATGAAGTCATCAGTGACGTCACTAATGACGTCATCGGTACCCGCATCGTCATCGTCACTGATGACGTCATCAGTGACGTCAGTGATGACATTATCGGCATTAGGGGTCACGTGACCCCCAAGGTCACGTGACCCCCCCCGGTTAGTTTAACCCCCCCCCCCCCCCAGTGCCCTTCCCTCCTCCTCCTCAAGAGCTGCGCTCTAATTCGGCGTTACAGGGAGTTGTAAGCGGCTTTCACTTTTTTCCCCTCTTTACAATGCTCTAACTGACTGAATTTGTAGCGTCACCTTACAAGGGGTCCACGCGGGAGACAGATTAGATACGAATGGTATATCACTAACAGGGGGTAGAAGCTGAGCTCGTTGGTGGTACATATTACAACGGTTAAACCAGCTGAACTACGAAAATAGGGAGAAAGCCAGCGATCGCTTGTCTTTACTCCTTTCTCCCTATTTTCGTAGTTCAGCTGGTTTAACCGTTGTAATAGGTATATCACTATTAGGCTGGGACTATACTCGTTTTCACCTCAAGAAAAAATTAATTTTTGCGCATTCTTCATACGCCACGCAAAATAGTTCTTAGAAGATTTGGTTGTCCGAGAAAGAAGCGATGAGCATTTGGCCTTTGAAACGTGCACGTCTAAAGTGCTTCGGCCTTCAGCGATCTTATCGGACAGTGCCTCGAACTCACTGGGTGCGGGGCAATGAGAAAACGAACGGGAACCGCCAGCAGGCTGTCGGAACAAAACAAAAACAACAATATTTAAAGAAAAAAAGTTTTGGGAGAGAACGAAAACGTAATCGAAAGTTTCTTTCCAAGTGAAACCGATAAATTATCGCATCACTTTTCGGTTCAATCGGAAAGTTCAGGGTCTGCTTTTGAGACCATCCTCCTGTGCACTTTGAGCCGCCCCTCTTCACGGTGTTTTTACCCGGATTCTTCGGTTTTCTAGCGTTGCAATAAGTACGCACTTGCTAGAGCTTTCTAATTACCTACATTTTCATATATAAAAATTAACGTTTCGTTTTTGTTTATTGTTTTTTTTTTTTTTTTTTTTGCACGGAAATACAAACAGTTACGAATCATCATTTTTTCCCCAGCAGAATTGTAACGGAACTTATTTTCTATGGAACGAAACTGAAACGAAAACAATAAACATTTATTGTAGGAGGTGTTGACTGTAGTAACGTCAGTTACATGAACACATATATCATCTATTCAGAGCGAGAGAGACACCGAACAAAAGAGGGAAGGCGTGAGGTGTTTAACTGCTTGCCGGAGCCTATAGCTGTTTCATGGCTTGGCTTCTTGAACAGTGGTGTCCCACACTCGAAATGAAAAAGGCAGATTAAATTGTCTTTCATTGCCAGATCTGTCGAAGCACGCGAAAATCGCCTGGTTCGGCATCGAGTCTCAACTCCCGGCCAGCGTGCTGCTTCCTCTCTGCCTGGTGGACGTCGTCCTGAACAGCATCCTGGTCACCGGCAGCCTCCTCCTCTCGGTCGCTCTCTACCTGGCCCTTACGGTAGCCCTGAGACACCGGTACGAGGCATTCAACGACGCCATCAACCGCCACGTACGCGACAATGTCGTGCGTCAAGAAGAGACCCAGGACCAGTCCTGGACGGTATGGTCTTGTCATTGACAATACGCGCAAGTCTTTTATCACTACTTTCTTCCGGAGGTAATTATGCTATAGTCTCTGGCGGGATTATAGAACGGGAATGACCAGCGTCAGTTGTCCCGCCCCCAGCGAGAGCTTCCTGCCTTCGATGACGCTTCAGCATCTCGTGGGCTTTGGCCGTGCTCGCGAAGCCAAAGCGCGATGGAAGGCATCGAGCAAGTGCTGAACATCCATAGGAGACGCCCTGCCGTTTTTAATCAATTGCAGTCACTGACCTGATAAAAACGGCTGTCTCTCTTTCGAATGTCTGTCTTCCGGCTCACGCTGATTGCCCTCCGTCGTGCTTTGGCTGGTTGGTAAGTGAAGTTTCATAGCTCCCCCAGCCCCCTCCCTCAATGCGTGGGAACGGAGTCTGCGTAGCAGGGTCGGAACAGCGTATTCGTGTTATCGCACCTCCATTGCACATGACGGAGTGACGATTCTTTTATTTGTCTCGTAATGTGTGCCAGACAACGCGGGAAAATCGCGGTCTCGATGTCCACGAGCTCCGAGAGCTGAGACAGATCCAGACAGACCTCGGCGTCGCCGTGCTTGAGATGGAAACCCACTTCTCGCCGACGGCCTTCGCCTGGGTCTCCTTCTTCGTGCTGGGCGTCTGCGCCGAGGTGAGCCGCTTTTTGGGACACCACGAGAGCGGCCTCAGCGATGAGCACCGAATCCTCGTCATCGGTGAGTCCATCGCGACCTCCTGGACAACGTAGACACTTGCACCAAAGACGGCACTGAGCTAGCGGGACTGAGCAGACGTCACTAAGCAGACAGCACTGGTCTAAGAGAGCTAAGTAGACCGCGGCAATCGACGGCATTACGCAGACGACACTGAGAAGAAGGCGCAAAAGCGTATACGGTACTAACCGAATGGCACGACGCAGACGAAACTAATCCAGTAGCACTAATCAGACTGCACCAAGGAGACAGCACAATTAGACAACACTAGTAAGACAGTTCTGTTTGAAGTGCAAGCAGACGGTGGCAATCGACGGCACTAAAACGGCACTAAGAAGATGGCACTACACAGACGGAACTAATCGGACAGCGATAGTCAGGCAGCACTATAATCAAAGTGCACTAAACAGACCGTGGCAATTGACGGCACTAAGCAGACGGCACTGAGCATAATGCACTAACCAGATGGCATTATACTAATCAGACAGCAGTAGTCAGGCAGCACTAATCAGAGTGCACTAAGCAGATGGTATGAGCAGACGGCGCTATTCAGGCATCACTAATCGATGTGCACTGAGAGGACTGTAACTATCGACAGCACTAAACAGACGACACGAGCAAAACACGGGACTAGTTCCAGTGCGATCCTCGAGTTGTCCGCGATGTACAGACCCGGCGCAACCGAAGATGTAACTGGTGAATGCCTGTGCAGGTTACATGGCGAAGTCGACTGGATAACCTGCCTTTTTTTTAGAGCGCAGCTCTTAGGCGCCTGTTTCCGGCTTGAGCGGCGACGCGGTCGGAGTAACTGCGCGTTGCATTATGGAAAACGACTCATAATTCAACGCGCGGGTCACGCGTTGCGTTACGGAACGTTAACCATAATGACGTCACACTTGAAGTCACGTGTGACGTCACGAGTGATGGCACGAGTGCACGACGGTCGCGAGAGTTATGAGTGACGTCACGACGGCCACGAGTGACGTCATTATGGGAGAGGTCCCATGATGCTACGCACGGGTCACGAGTGACGTCACGAGGTTTACCAGTGACGTCACTCCTGACCCGCGCGTTGCGTCATGGGACGTTTCCCTTATCGACGTCACGTGTGACGTCACGAGGATCACAAGTGACGTCACGAGGGTCGCAAGTAACGTCACCACGGTCACGAGTGCTACGAGTGACGTCACGACGGTCACGAGTGTTACGAGTGACGTCACGTGAAGGTTACGACCTTCACGTGTGTCGTCACTAAGGTCACGAGTGACGTCACGAGGGGGAAGGAAGGGAGGGGGAGAAGGAGGGAGGAGGGGGAGAGGGAGGATGAGGATGGGAGCAGTAGAACAGCCCTTGAGGAGGAGGAAGAGGGGTACGGAGGACCCTTTTCTCCGTACCCTCCCCTCCACCTCCTGAAGAGCTGCGATCTAAATCGGCCTTACAGGGCATTGTAGTTGCTTTCATTTTTTTTTTTCATAATTTGCTGAAACAATACTGCTCTCAGTTGATTAGGGATCTTCTGTGGCGAGCGTACGAAAACGCTTCAGGTTTGGTAGGTTGTTCTTCAGCCCTTCAGATGTCAAGCCTTCAGGCCAAATCGTTATTTGATTCAAATGTTATAATATAAGCGATTTTCGAAAAGTTTCAATGTGAAAATGGTAGCTGACGGAGCCCACGAGTACATGAGACTGAATGGCGCAAGCCTCCGGGAACGGGCCCCATTTTCCTATTGAAAGTATTAAAAAAGAGCATACCTTTGAATATCATTTTTTTCTCTTTTTTTCTCTTTTTCTCAAGTGGATTTTGAGATGGTCTATTTATTTTCATAACTCAATCTATGGGCTTTAAGCACCCTAAAAAAAACAATATTATATTCAAGGGCGGCCGATTTCCCTATTAAAAATCCAATCAAAGATCGGTTTTCGGCGCCGTGGCGCAGAACACCAGGGGGCGCCACCGGACGGGAATGCAGCAGGGGAGGGCACGCGAGAGTCAATCATTAATAACGACTTCCCGGCGAACTGAATTTCCGAATTCGCGCGCCTTCGAAACCCCGCAGGGAAGCCGTCAGTCGTGAATGCTTGTCGCGTGCCCTCTCCTGCTGCCTTTCCGTCCGGCGGTGCCCCTGGTGGCCCCGTTGTACACCGGTCGTACAGCCGGCAACCCAAGCCCCGATGTCCCCCGTGCACCTCCGGAAAGGGAGTCCTATACCATTTTGTTCAGCCAAGTTTCGTCGACATTCGGTTTCTTTTTCTTTCTTTTTTTTTTTTTTTCAGTGCTAATCGTAAAGAAGAAACGTAAATATCGCCAAATGCCCCGACAAAACAACATGTTCGAGAAAAAAAAAAATAAAAGAGTAGGCCCACGCTGTGGATCGAACCCGGGTCCGCTACGTATGAGACAGACATCTTACCACTAAGCTATACGCTACAGCTTCGAAAAACTCTTGTTGACAATTTTCTTTATACGACACTTTCTTTATACGGATGGCACTTGAAGGCGCGAGTGTAGTGCCCTCGGACGGCACTTTAACGCTCTGCAAGAGTGCCGTCGGACGGGACTTTATAGACACTACGTTATTCGTACTGGCTCATGCAGGTGAGGATCACTGGTGGTTTTGAAAGAACCGAATTGAATCGACATCTCAGAAGTCTCAGATATTAGCTAAAAGGCTCCCAAGCACTTCTTATGAGTTGTGAACGCGAAAGCATGAATGTCGTTTTTAGCGCCGCGGCCGCTACTGGTCCCTTCGGCACCAGGGCCGCTTCTGACCCTCACGGTGGCGCGGCTGCATGTGATCCCCTAGACGCTTCGGCCGTGTTTGCTCCGGTGCAGACACGCAGCGCCATGGGGTGGCGCTAATTGAAACTGTGACGCGCGTCGGCTTCATATTATTGCCGTTTTGCGAGGCGTTTTGCGTGGTTTCAAAGCTGGGATGCCTCAGATCGCGGCTTCGGGAATTTATCTGCCGTTTGGAGCGGCTGATGACGTCGGTTCGGTCCATGGGACTGTTAATGCTTTCGCATTAACACCCTGAAGGCGACAGGTACTGAACAGATGTAGCGATTGAATAATCTGAACTAACAGCATCAAATAATATTGAACGGATAAATGAAAATAACAGAAATAACTACAGCATATGTCATAACACAAAATTCACTTGAAACTATCATGAAACTAGTACGAAAGAACTAATATCGGGAAATTGAGTAAAAAATAAACTATACTGAAAGTGCCACAAAAACTGAACAATATGTATATACACACGCATTTACATACTCATATATACATGCATACATATGCACTGTAAACAAAGAGACATAGACATTGAAATGCACTCACTTGTGGAAACTTTGGTCTAGAAAAATATAAAAAGGCAGAAAAAGCTTTTTAGCATTTACAGTGTCAGAAATAAGATCAAATAATTACAAAATAGTACAAAATAAGCTTTGAAGTGCGTATCGTTAGTATAAAAGGTCTCAAGTTGATGAAAAAGCAATACCACTACCCACCAGGAATCTTCTGCATTCATTTTTGAATTTATAAAAAGGTTTGTCAAAGTCTATGTTTATATCGTTTCTATTTAAAGTTTTTGATACCTGAAAAGTTATTGTTTGCCTGCCATAGTTAGTCCTGATAGCAGGCATCTTTCGCTTTGGGTCTCGAAAGGTGTACACACTCAAACTGTCTGTTGGTGTAATGTATAATTTGTTCATATAAATCCATTGCAGGAGTTTGAAGTAGTATACCTGGTCTGCTTTCAGCATATTATATTTTATGAAGAGTGGTTGTGTACGTAGATTTCTTTTATCCCCTTTAAAATTTTCGCACATACGTAATATTTTTTTCTGCAAGATTACTAGCTTATTATAGTTCGAAGCTGTAGTTGTTCCCCAAATTAAGATTCCATAGCTGATTTTCGAGTAAAATAGGGAATAATATAATGTTTGTTTCAGCCAGATGGGTAGAAGGTTTTGTATTTTATATATGCTACCAGTAACGCGTGATAATTCTGCTTTCAGTTTGTTAATATGAGTATTCCATGAGAGGTCCTCTGTGAACCATACGCCTAGAAATTTTTGTTCCACCACTTGTTCCAGCAAGGTACCTTCAAACAATATGTTGATACAGCTACAGTCTCGCCTATTGGCCGGTTTAAAAATAACATACTTGGTTTTACTAGTATTTAGGCTTAAACGATTGATTTGTAACCATGTTGATAGTTTTAATAGGTAAGTATTAGCTGACAGTTCCAAGCACTTTTTTGTCACTCCCGTAAAAAACACATTAGTATCATCGGCATACATTATTAGCTCGGGGGAGTCTGGAATTTTAGTTATATCATTGATATACAAGAGGAATAGCAGAGGGCCTAAAATAGAGCCCTGTGGTACACCACACTGTATCCTCATTTTTTTAGATGACTGATCATTTATAGATACATATTGGTAACGGTCAGTAAGATACGTTTTAATCAACCTTAACGCAACTCCTCGAACCCCATAGTTTTCTAGCTTTTTCAATAAAATACTGTGTTGTACAGTATCGAATGCTTTTCTTAAATCTAAAAATAAACCAAGCGTGAACAATTTGTTTTCAATATTTTCAACAATTTTATCTTTTATGTCAAGTAACGCTAGTTCCGCAGACTTTTTTTTCTGAAATCCATATTGTTCCGGCGTTATTATTTGATGTTTTTGAAGGAAGGAGGTTAGCCTATCATTTATAACCCGCTCGAAAATTTTTGAGAATGCTGGGAGAACAGAGATTGGTCTGTAATTATTAATTAAATTCTCTCCGCCTCCCTTGTAAACGGGAGTAATTTTGGCTATTTTTAATTCATCAGGGAAGTCTCCAGACTGGAGCATATTATTAACTATATGTGATAAAACAGGACTAATTATGCTCGTTGTGTACTTAATCGGTAAAGCCTTGATTTCATCATCTCCAGCAGCGACATCATTTTCTAAACTTCTTATAATTTTATCAATTTCGAATGGTGTTGTTGGAGCAAGCATGATTGATCCTAGCTGATATCTTTCAAATGTACAGTCACCCGCAATGCTATCATTTCCCGCGTACGATCCAATACTAATAAAATGCTGATTCATTGCATCTGCGAGTTCTTTTCCAGCGACAGTTACATTATCTATTACGATTTCCTTCACAGTGCAACGCTGCTTTCTGGTGATTAGATTGTTTATCGTGTCCCAAACTTTTCTGTGGTCATCCTGTACACGCTGAAACTGAGCTTGAAAGTAATCACATTTCGCCTTCTTCAGGTCTCTGTTCAATTCGTTTCTGAATTTTTTGAACTCGGCCAATAAGCGAGGATCACGAGTTTTAATGAATGCATGGTATTTACTGTTCTTTTCTTTTATTTTTTTATAAAGATATCTAGTTACCCAAGGCTTTCTTAACTTTCTTCTTTTTGTTTTTTTCTCCCGTAGAGGAAAGGCTGCGTCATAACATCGTTTGTATTTAATCAGGAAGTTTCTATAAGCCAGCGTGGGGTTGCACTCATCGTACACGTCGTCCCAACTTTGTTGCTCTATTATGGAGCCAAAACGTCTCAGTGTTTCGTCGTTTATTGAACGGTGCCAGAATTTTTCTATGTCACGATTTTGTTCCTTGATTGAAGAAGACCCAACGCAAAAAATAGGCAAAAATGGTCACTGATATCGTATAAAATTACGCCAGCTGTAGCATGACAACTATCTGTGATGCAGACGTCGAGGGACGTTGCCGTGTCAGCAGTCACCCTGGTTGGCAGTGTTATTAGATTGCTACATCCGTACTGGTGGATGATATCTCGAAATTCTCTCGCGTAAGGGTCATCTGAAATTGTATTTATGTTTACATCGCCAAGAATTATAAATGACGCAGATAGTGATCCAAGGAAACATAGTGCATTTTCAAGAAATTCAATGAATTCAAGCATGTTGCCCGATGGCGGTCTATACAAGGCAGCAACTACAGCGGCTGGTGTTTTAACAAACAAACTTTCTATATTTTCATTCATTCTTGTGAGATCATCAATAACTTGGTATTGTAAAGTATCCTTAATATAAACTGCAATTCCGCCGCCCCTTTTATTCTCTCTGCTCAGGCTTTTGCAGTTGTACCCCTGAAGGCATGGAGGCATGTCCCCTTTTGCTAGCCAGGTTTCCGTAAGTACGATAGTTTTAAATTCGACACTCAGCGAGTGTAAAAATATTTCAAGCTCGTCTACCTTATGTTTAATGCTTCTCGTGTTTAAATGTATCGCGGAAAATGTTTTCCCACAATTCTTATAGTTTTTATTGAAGTCCTGGCAATCATGATAGTTGCAATCAGGCAGTTTTTCTTCCATCATAGCTTCTTGTGTACTGTAGGGCCGCAAGTATTTTGTTTAATTTCTTATTTTGTCAACATCGGACAGGCTAGCGATTCTGATAATGTCTGCGTTCTCGTCCTTCCGTGCGAGGATCTTCCCACCTGAGGACCACACAAACTTCCACCCGACGTCTTTCTTTTTGGCGATTGCAGCACCCAGTATCCTCTTGTTTGAGCTGGTTAAATGCTCATTCACGTACACGGGACTGCTGTGACCACCGTAGTCAAGGTCAGTACTTGTCAGCCTTTTCTTTTTGCTTTTTTGAAGGATTTTGTCTCGTTTCGTACGTTGTACGAAACGTACAATGATGTTCTTTTCTGTTGCTCGGAAGGTAGGAATACGGTGGCACACGTCAATATCGGAGTCTAATATTGGTTCGTCAAGAAGAGTTCCAATCCTTTTAACGACATCATACGCGTCACCTGCTTCGGGCACACCTTTTATTTCTAGATTGTTACTCCTCTGGTACTGCTCGAGCTCTTCAACTTTTTCGTTAAGCCTACGATTTTCGGTGGCCAGCTCTTCGTTCCTACTCGAGAGTTTCTGAACCTCTTTTCGAAGTTCTTTTATTTCGTTTTTTATTTCGTTTACCCCGTCACATGTGTCGCTGCAGCTCTTTACGCTGTCTTTTAAGGTCCTAAGGTCTGCCCTTAGCTCGCGTTTGAGGTCATCAAGAGCTTTCCCAATATCTTTACTCATGTTGACAGGAACGCCGGCAACAAGCCCCGACGTCACAGTACCTGTACACTCTGAGGAATGCTAACACTTTTTTGCTGTGTTCGGCAGCAGTGCAGACAATATTCTGGTTCTATACAAAAAATAAACGATGCTCACCTGCACAGACACAAGGGATTAGTTGTCTTGCTTCAATGTGCACTGCTGCCGAACTGAACTGTGACGCGCGTCGGCTTCATATTATTGCCGTTTTGCGTGGCGTTTTGCGTGGTTTCAAAGCTGGGATGCCTCAGATCGCGGCTTCGGGAATTTATCTGCCGTTTGGAGCGGCTGATGACGTCGGTTCGCTCCATGGGACTGTTAATGCTTTCGCATTAACACCCTGAAGGCGACAGGTACTGAACACATGTAGCGATTGTAAGTGTGGCAGATTTAGAAATAGATACTTCATTATACGCTCGACTAGTGATTCTAACTAAGTATTCTTAATGTTAAATTTAGATTGAACGGAAATTTCTTACCAGGTGCACCACTCTCTGACGGTAAAGGGCAATTTACACACTTCCGTTGAGTCCGACCGAGACGGGGGTTGCTATGACAACAGCTGTGTCGGCTCCAACAAAACGGGGTAAGATCCGCCTTTGTTGGAGTCGACGGGAGCTTTTGCCATAGCAACCCTCGCACTAGATCGGACTCAACGCAAGTGCGTGAATCGCCCCTGAGTCTGTTGGATGGCCACGACATTTCAAGATTCCTCCTCGAGGTCAATCTTGAGAAAAACTGATATTTTTATTTTCCGGTTAATATAGGTTACCGTTAAATAATTTACGGTTAGGGTTTTTATAAATTTCACATAACGGTAGCGTTACGGTTGCGATTAATAAAAAAAATTCGTTCCAAAACGGTTTTCGGTTTTGGTTACGGTTCGAGTCCCTGATTTAAGGGGCTTCGATGACGCTTTGCAAGTATTTTTCATTGAGTGAAAAGTGAAGTTGGTGTAATTATTTTGCTAATTGGTATGTTAGTTTGCAATCCCGGACTTCGGTACGGCAATCCCTTCACCGGGTGGAGGGGAGCTCAGCGTCGCTTAGCTTCTCCCAGGATATTTCAGGGAGGGGAAGGGCTGTCGGCGCCTATGGAGGACCTATCAGGCTCGAAACCTTTCCATCACTCCGATCGCAAGAGAAGATCCCTAATTCCAACTGAACTGAGTCCAGTGCTTGGGTTTTTCCGTAGATAGTATCGTATCAGTGCGGATTGCGGGCTCTGCGGGCGTGTGCTCAATCCACGCTCAAAGTGAAGGCAGGAACTCATGCTAGCAACGCAAAGCTCTTGCATGCTTTTACGAAAAGTTCCTATTCTGTTACCATATTACTCGCAAGAGCTTTTTTTTTTCAATTTTATTCGGATAGCTTATCTTAATCTGTAAGTGAGAACGTATTGGAGACGAATTAGAGAGATGGAGAGCTAGATTATTTTACTGTAGTCGTGCGGTTGTGGTCAGACGACAGAGGGGTTAAAAGGAGCCACGATTTGCAAAACGAATATTTCTCACTTAGGAAATACACCGACCTTAGAAAGCACCGTCGCTGCCGCGATGCATCGAGTCAACTTTGGTCTTTTTGCGCGTGCGAAAACCTCACTGGTGCTCTGCGTGTATACAGAGCACGAGACGGCACAAGCCGTCTCAAGCACTGCTACGCTGCCGCCAGCCTCCTGTGGACTAAAATTACGGCGGCGTCACGCATGCGCCGAACGCTTGGTGAGATCGTTCTATTAAAACGCAGATAACACGAGTGGCCGCCACTTGTCACTCTCAGGTCTGAACCTGGGCTCGGTAACCCTGCTGTTTGTACTCCTGGCCGTGATGTCATCCCGGTTGTCGGAGACCTCGAACGCGTCGATGATGCCGCTGCACCGGGCCCTCGGATTGAGCTCGGACCGACCCCAAGAGTACCACGAAGGGCTCCTGCTGATCTCGCAGCTCAGGGCGCCGGCCGTGGTCCTCACAGGCTGGGGCTTCTTCTACTTCTCCAGAGGATTTGTGCTCACCCTGGCAGGAGCCCTGCTCTCCTACGTTATCATCATCCTCCAGCTGAACTCCGATCTTGACAAGGACAAAGAGATAGGCAAGGACAGCTGAAGAACCGGCTTCAAGGACACTCCTCCGAATAAATGTCGTCGTGTCTCCAGCTCGTTGCTCGCCCTCCCGCGGCGGAAACGGGAAGCGCTCTAGTGAGGGCGCCCTCCCGCGGCGGAAACGGGAAGCGCTCTAGTGAGGGCCCCCGATTCTCCTGCTCAGCGGGCAAGGCGGAACTGCTCGCGATCATGGCTCGCGAAATGTCTTTTTTTTTATTTAGACACATGCTTTTTCTTTCACTAGCGTGCAATGTGGTTTTCTTCTTGTGTGTTGCCCTGTGTGCCCCCTCCTGCCTTGGCTGCCATTTGGCAGCCAAGGCAGGAGAGGACACACAGGGCAACACACAAGAAAACCACATTGCACGCTAGTGAAAGAAAAACATATAGGACTGCACATCTAAGAAATAACGCTGTAATGATGAGGCGAATTTCTGAACGGACGAGACATTGGTAATGTTGGCAGGAAGACTATTCCATTCGTTAATGGTTCGTACGAAAAAGTAGTTTTTTAAACATTGGGTTCTGCTGTAAGGTACCACAATTGTGTTGGAGTGCTTGTGTCGTGTGTGACGAGATGTGTTAAATTGCATAAATCTGTCGAATGAAAGGCGAGATGAGTCATGTACAATGGAAGCTTTAGACGATTAATTTTGCGCCGGGTTGAAAGAAGCTCAATTTTCGACCTATTGTACAAGTTAGTGATAGAACTCATTCTTCTGTACTCGTTGTAAATGAAGCGCGGTGCTTTCTTCTGTACCCCCTCGAGTCGATCAATATTAAGTTTAGTCTCAGGGTCCCAAACAACATCCGCGTATTCTAAGACAGGTCGTATTACTGTCGTGTAGATTGCTAGCTTGGTTTAAGGGGTACAGTGCTTCAGCCGCCTCTTCAATGATCATAGCTTTGCTGATGCCTTCTGAGTAGTCCAAGATATATGGCTATTCCAACTGAGGTTCGAGGAGATAATGACACCTAAGTATTTGAATTCATGCACAACTTGTAAAGGGGAATTTTGTATACAGTAGTTAAATTCCAAGGGTGACCTCTTGCGCGTTACTCTCATTTGTACACTTTTCGAGCTGTTTAGCAACATTTGCCATTCGTTACACCATTGAGAAATTGAACACAGGCACTTGTTTAAATTAAGTTGGTCATTGCTTGAAGCTATTTCAGTAAAAAGCACAAAGTCATCTGCAAAAACCGGCAGTGTATACGCTCATCAACCGTCAAATCGTTTAGAAAAACAAGAAAGAGCAGTGGGCCCAGCACCGATCCTTGTGGAACGCCCTAGATAGCTGATACAATAGGGGAACAAGCCCCACCTACTTCAACGAACTGATGACGGTTGCTCAAGTATGAATCCAACCATCGCAAGAGATTATCGTTTCCTAGAATCACTCTTAGCTTGATAAGTAGTTTGCTGTGTGACACGCGATCAAAAGCCTTGGCGAAATCTAGGAATAGCTACATCCATTTGCCCCCCCCCCCCCCCCCCCCCCCCCCCGCCTTGTCAACGACTTTTGCAAGTTCATTTACTATATAAAGGAGCTGAGTTACCGTAGAGTAGCCACGCCGGAAACCATGCTGGCTCTCTGATAAAAAATTATTCGATTCAAAATGTGACATGAGATGACTAAATAAAAAATGATATAGAACCCTGCCGCACGAGCAGAGCAAGGAAACGGGCCTATAATTCGATGCGTCATGTCTATCTCCTTTCTTATGAATGGGTATAACTTTTGCCACTTTCCACTGATTAGGTACCACCCCCGAATGCCGAATGCAAACAACACTCTTCACTGTCCCAACGTGGTGCTGCAGCCGGCATGGGATTGTACCTTATTAGAGAGTTTGAGTATTGCGTATAGAAGCAAACGCAAGCGAAGTTCGTTTGCGTTAAGAGTTGCGTGCTCCACGTTGCGCATGCGCGTCATCGCCATGCGCCAATTCAATTAAGACCGCAATTTCGGGCTCCGTGCACGCGCAGTGTAGAACCCGCAAAGCTTACGCAAACACACAACGCTTGCGTTCGCTCGTATATGCAATACTAAAACCCACAACTATTTCACCGGCTTCCAACGCCAACGAAACGTGCTGCAGTGAGCAGACGTGCAAACAGGTAGGCGTTCTTTGGAACTGGAAAGGCTGAGATTGGCAAAACGACGGCACGTAAAAATTAAAGTAACTAAATGTTATTAAAAAAATAAAAAAATTATAAGAAATATTTTTTTTTTTTTTTGAGGGGGGGGGGGGGGGAGGGGGGGCATTTGGTCTGGAAGGATATTGGCGGCGACTTTGGAAGTTTTGCCGATTGGCAAAAGTCGCGACTTTGATAGCACCATATCCACAATCAATGTTATTTTACTTGGATTTCTCACATCAGCTAAATTTTTTTAATTGCTGTTAGATTACTTTTTTATATCTATATTGGTAACTAAAATGTTGCAATTAGCACCAGTGACGATAATTAGCACATTTTTTTTATTGGCATACTTGTCGCGCGCTTCAAATTAGATCATAAGCAACAAATTATATTAGCGCATAAAAAAATACTTATTAAATGTTAATTTTAATATTATTACTAACACAAACAGCGGCAATGTATGCCCCCATTAAACGCCACATTCACCAAATTACGCCATTTAACCAAAATAGTCTTTCCAGAGAGGTGTCATTTTGTTTCCTTTTTAACACATGAGAAACTCTGATGTCGTTTTTACGCTAGGCAGACAGTCAAACACTGGGTGCAATATAAAGTCATATGCTTTAAAAACAGACACACACTTCAGCTGTGAGTCGGATCCCGTTTTGGGGTTTCTGTAGTGAGAACAGCGTTTCTTAGTTTATACGTTTTGTGAACATATTGTGAAAGTTTGATTTATTGTGTTATTCTCGTGCTAGGAAAAATGTTAAAGAAACTAATTATTTAAATGACCCTTATTTCACATGACAATAATCTGAGCGAGAAAATGCAGCGAGAACGCACAGATATCAGCCTCATTTGTTACCTCAAAGGTTTGGGGAGTCTGCGAGAAATCCGAGCCCTGTATTTCGCACCGAGAAAATAAACTAGACATCGCGGAGAGCTTAAACTCCGTCAGAACGTAGCCCCAGCCGCTCGAGCAAGATGCCAAAGTTGCAGCACCAACCGTTACCTTTTTCAAAAGTTATAAGTGATTTTCTGAAATTCGCTATGGGAAGATGGGGGCCCATTTTCTCCCGTTTTCGGTTTTTGGCGTCACAGAGTGCCATGTATTCCAAAGCTTCGTCGGCCGCCATTTTTTTTTTATTGAATTTTTTAGAAGATTGTTTATAACTTTTGAATAAGATAACGGTTGGAGATGAAACTTTGGCATGTTGCTCGGGCTACGTTCTGACGGAGTTTGAGCTCTCCGCGAAGTCTAGTTTATTTTTGCGGTGCGAAAAACAGGGTTCGGATTTCTCGCAAACATCCGGTATATGAAAGACCCTGTCTTTAAAGGGACACTGAAATCTCCAAAATATTTTGAAGTACCTGCATCGAACACGTATGTCACAAAATAAAGTTTCCGCGAACAACTTCTCTAACTAAATAATTACGATGTGAGACACATCTTGGGTTATGAAAGAATACGAAATTAAGACATATACCGGGAAATTAAATCCAAAATAGAGGTTAGTTTCGGTTTCTCTCCAGAATCAAAACGTGCCACCTAGCGTAAATATTATGCCAAACACAGTTCTCTATGTTTCTTTTTTTTTTTTCTTACCATAAAGAGTTTATTTGCGCTTATAGGTTCCTCGTATTACCTAAAATAATTTGTGTCGTTCACGACGCTCAGTGAAACCAGCAAACTAGACAGGCTCAGCAGCGGCACGCATCTCCGACCCTCACTATAACCACCATTTTGGAAAACAAGTGGTTCCACCTATAGCGAATCGTTTGCTCACACCAGGTCTGCGAAAGGTGAAGCCTCTGCACATGCGCCGTACGGACAGCAGCACCACCGCAGCGGCGTGATGTCATAGCTGCGGGCTAGAAGGATTAGCCTAGAAATGTTAGCCTAACTCTTCTAGGGTTAGGCTAGAAGGGCTAGCCCACCACAGCTGTGTATAAGCGCCACCATAAATGAATTTTTTTTTTTTTTACAGCGGAACTGTTAAGGGTTAGTTTCCCCAGGATCGTGTCCCCCGCAAAGGAATGAAGACACCGAACTCTGGACACCTACCGCCATCTATGAGCGACGGCGGCAAACCATGTGCCTGGTTTCCGCCGTCGCTCATAGATGGCGGCAGCTTTTCCACTCTGGCTTGCCGACTTGCGGCCGGCCATTATTTTCCATTGTACAGCTCCGCTGGTCTTCCTTCTTCACCAGAGTGTAAAGGCTGAAAGTTTGTTTGTTTTTTTCTGTTCACCTTGCTTCGTCACTTCGGTCGCACGACAAGTTGGTGACCTTCTAGACACCACAGTGTTCGTGCCTTCAAGGCATTCTTTGTATAGATTTGTCCCTACACCATTTCGCTGGCCCGGCGTCTCGGCGATGCATGGAGCGGGCCATTTACGGTGTCAAAATTTGCCTCCCAAGCGACTTCCGAAGGCTCCGTGCTGGGTAGGTTCTACGAGCTTATTCCCAAGGTTCGCCGCTTCAGTCTAGCCTCTAGGTTTGAAACAAAAGTTCGCGACATCCCGAACATGCACTAATAAAAGGGCCCTGCAATGACCTTTTTACTGGTTTTTAAATTGCACCGAACCTGAGCGCACTGAACGTAGTAACTTAGATAAACTTTTTTTTTCTCTCGAAATTCGCTTTATTTTAAAAGTTATAGGCAAATTAGAATTACAGAAACAAGCAAAAAATAACCTCCTTCATGACATCGTAGGTCCTGGCTTGAGTGGCCGTGAACTAGAGGAGGGGTAGTGAGCTCATCGAGCGCTCACGGCTGCCGCACAACGTGTCGACGGCGTGAGAGGGCGCCACTAAAGCATGTTCTGGATAGGCTGTATGCAGCAAGCAGCCAGAGCCG